CTGTACAAACTCCCCTTGTAAATTTGCTCCACATAAGTCCAGTACATGTTGAACGGATCCGAAACAACAGGGGGGAGGGGAGGAAGGGAGGAGAGGAGAGGAAGGGTGGAGGAGTGGAGGAAAGGGGAGGGAGGAGGAGGAGGAGGAGGAGGAGAGGGGAGGAGGAGGAAGAGGGGAGGAGAGGGGAGGAGGAAGAGGGGAGAGGAGAGGGAGGAGGAGGGGGAGGAGGAAGGAGGAGGAAGGAGGAGGAGGGAGAAGGAGAAGGAGAAGGAGAAGAGAGGAGAAAGGAGAAGGAGAAGGAGAGAGGAGAAGAGAAGAAGAAGGAAGTGGAAAAAAGGGAGGAGGAGGGGAGGAGGAGGGGGATGAGGGGAGGAGGAGGAGGAAGTGAGGAGAGGAGGGAGAGGAGACGAAGGGTAAAAGGAGGAGCAGGAGGGGGAATTGGCGGAAAGAGGCTGAAGGAGAAGAAGGAGGGGGAAGTGGTGGTGGTGGAGGAGAGTCGAGGAAGTTTGAGAAGGAGAACACCAGAAAGAGTGAGAGGAGATGGAAAATTGAAAAAAAGAAAACAGAAAAACAAGGAGCAGCAGAAATGTACGAAGGAGGTTGAGGAGAAAGAGAGGGAGTAAGAGAAAAGGAGAAAAACAAGGAGGAGGAGGAGGAGGGGAGTTGTTCCAACACGCGTACAATAAAACCTTGTTTTTAATTGCCCTTAACGACCTTCTTGTATTTGAACATCGCTCATGGGGTATATACGCATTGCAAGGGACTTGGTTCACCTGAATCTTTTAACTTTTCTTCTTCTTAAACTAGATAATTTACGACATAATAAATCTTGGTCAAAAGCTGGAGAATTCATTGAAGGAAAGTAGAGACGTCGGTTCGTAAAGAGAGAACGAGAGAATGATAAATAAACGCGGAAACCCGAGCGACAACTGCAACAAAACACGAGAAACAGGGATCGGTTCCAGATGAAAGTCCGAGATTGTAATGTGTTTATTGCCCGGCAAAGGAATTAATTTTCCATCTCTGGTTTTATCTCTGGTGTATAAAATGCTAATCTGGGAGGGGGGAGGAGGGGAGACAGGAAGAAAAAGAGGCAAAAGAGAGAAGAGAGAAAAGGAAACGAAGAGTACGATGCTCTTGATAGGATCGACTGCCATTATAACAAGCTTCGTCTTCACTTGTTTCGGAAGGCTTTGTGGCGTCTATACCGATCGTTCTCGTCGCCATGGTACACGAAGGTTAACACACGGTCGACACACACGTGGAAGTTAATCAGCAAACAGTATAAACAGCCAATAAAGGAGGAATAAGAAGAAAATGCGAAAGATATAGATATCGTGATGCTGCGGTTACACTTAACGTTTTTATTAATCACCATCTAGCAGTAAGACTAATTAAAATGACATGAAATAATGATCTAATTGATGTTATGGTCATGAGAGAAATATGATTGCCAATAATGGAATCATTAATGCGAATGGAACTTGTTACTGGGATCATGAGAACGCTAATGATTGCTATGCTGTGTATAACAATAAGGGCATTAATTATACTGATGGCGGGGATGATGATGATGATATGATGGTGATGATGATGACAATGATGATGATGACTGTAATAATGATAATGTTAATAATACATTTATTGTTATTACTATCATAATTATTACTATTGTTGTTAGAATTGTTATTAATATCATTATTATCATTATCATCATTATTATTGTTATTGTTAGTACTATTATTGTTATCATTATCATTACTGTTATCATTATCGTCATTATTACTATTATCATTACTGTTATTGTTATCATTAATATCATCATTATTTTTTTATCATCATCATCATCATCATCATTATCATTATCATCATCATTATCATCATTATCATTATCATCAGCATCATCATCATCATCATCATCATCATCATCATCATCATCATCATCATCATCATCATCATCATCATCATCATCATCATCATCATCATCATCATCATCATCACCATTATTATCATCATTATGTTATTGTTATCATTATCATTATCGTTATCATTACCATTATCATTATAATCATTACTATCATTATCATTGTCATCATTACTATTGTTATTATCATTATCATTTTCATATTTACTATTATTATTATTGTTATTATCGTTACTATTATAATCATTGTCATTTTATCATCATTATTGTTGCTATATGTATGATAATGATGACCGTTATCATTATTATTGTAATCATTATCATTATCATTTTCATATTTATCAGTTATCATTATTGTCATTATCATCATCATCATTATTATTATTATCATTATATTATTATTATTATTATTATTATTATTATTATTATTATTATTATTATTATTATTATTATTATTTATTATCATTATATTATATTATTATTATTATTATTATTATTATTATTATTATTATCATATCATTATCATCATTATCTTATTATCATCATTGCCATTACTATTATCATTATTTATTATTATTATTATTATTATTATATTATTATTATTATTATTATTATTATTATTATTATTATTATTTATTATTATTTATTATTATTATTATTATTTATTATTATTATTATTAATTATTATTATATTATTATTATTATTATTATTTATTATCATTATAATTATTATTATTATCATCATTATTATCATCATTATTGTAAATGTTATCATTATAATTATCATAAGATGATGATATGACAATAGTGATAGTAGTGATAATGATAATGATAATAATAGTAATAATGATAATGATAATTATTATTATCATTATCAATTGGTTATCATTATTATCATCAATTACATTATCATCAGCATTATCAAGATCATGATACTTCTATTACTTCTGATATTACTTATTGATATATTGATAATAATAGTAAGAGAAAACGTGAATTTAACGGAGTGTTAAGAATTGTGATAAAGAATGATAATGATGACAACGACGATAGGGAAATAATGATGGTGAATGTTATAATCCTATCGATGATAATGATACTAATGATATAAATAATATTGGTAATGGTAATATTAGTAACGATGATGATGATGATGATGGCGATGATGATGATGATGATGATGATGATGATAATGATGATGATAATGATAATGATGATGATGATGATGATGTTGGGGATGATGATAATGGTGATGGTGATGATGTTGGTGATGATGATAATGGTGATGGTGATGATGTTGGTGATGATGATGGTCATAATCATCATAATGATAATGAAGATGATAATGATTATATCGACAATTACAGTATAGATAACAAAAATATCTATTAGCAGTGAATAGTAATAACATAACAGCAACAAATATAGTAATAACCGTGATAACTAACAATATAACTAAGCAATAGTAATAACAATATGAAAACAACATAAATAACACCATATGCCAATAATAGTAGTAACAATATAAATAACACCAATAGCTATTTATCAATAAAAGTAGTAATGATATAAATAACACAATATCTATATCAATAGATATAAATAATATAAATAACAACAATATCTATTATCAATAGATAGTAGTAACAATATAAATAACAACAATATCTATTATCAATAAATAGTAATAACAATCTAAATAACAACAATATCTATTGCCCATAGATAGTAGTAACAATATAAACAATATCTATTATCAATAAATAGTTAAAACAATCTAAATAACAACAATATCTATTGCCAATAGATAGTAGTAACAATATAAATAACAACAATATCTATTATTAATAAATAGAAGTAACAATATAGATAACAATACCTTATCAATCAATCTAGATAACAATGACGTTCCCGGCGCCACCGACAGAAATCGCGAGGCGGAAAGAGGAAAACAATCACGTCGGCGGAATCACCTCCTCCTTCGGCGATCGTATCACTGCGCAAAACTATCGAAATTTCGCGCATCGCTTCGCAGAGCCGAGTCGGGGCCTCTGTTTCCCTTCGGACCCCCCCCTTCGAGGTTCTCACGCTAAGCAAAGGGTTCTTATCCAAATCACACCCTTCCTCCCTCCCCCCCCTCCCTTGGTCGGGCTTTACCTACCTCCTCCTACCTCTACCTCCCTCCCCCCCTTATCCTTTCCTCTCCCCCCATTTAGCTCTCTCTTGGCCTCTTTCTGGGCCGCCAGGTAGGTCTCTGTCTCTCTTCTCTTGTCTTTCTTTTTTTCTGTCTTTCTTCTTCTTCTTCTCTGCTTTTCTCTTTCCCTGTCCTATCTATCCTTCTAGTACCTCTTTCTCCGCTCTCTTTCCTCCTACTCTATTCTAAATCCCTACTAATAATTCCTCCTTCCCCATAATCATTTTATTTTCCCTCTGCCTCCTTCCTTCTCTTCTCTATTTCTATTTCCTTCGACATCTGCACCCATTCTTTCTCCTCCTCCTTTTCCTTCTTTCTCGCACTTCATTCCGCTCTCCTCGTCTCCATTACTTCCTCTTCCCTCATCGTTTTCTTCTTTCTCTCTCTCTCTCCTTTGTTCGCCACCTTCTCCCTCTATTTCCTCCCTTATTACATTCTCTCCTACTTCCTCTGTCTCCTTCAAATGTAATCTCCGACCCTCTCTCCTTTATCTCCCCGTCTTTTCTCCTTCCTCCTCCTCCTCCTCCTCCTCATTTCTTCTCCAATCCCCTCCTTTTCCTCCTTCTCCATCCTCCTCCTTTCATCTCCATCCTCCCCACTACCTTCCTCCCTCCCCTCTTAGTTCCTTCCTTCCTTCTCAATCCTCTTCTACTACCAGCTCTTGCTCCTCCTTCTCCTTTTTTCCCTATCCCCTTTCCTCTTCCTCCTCCACCTTTTTGTCCTCCTTGTCCTCCTTTACCTCTTTCCTTCTCCACCCCCCCCCCTCCTCACCCGCTTTCTTCTCCATCCTACTCCTTCACCTATTTCCTTCCCCATCCTCCCCACCTCCCTCTTTCCTCCTCCCCCTCCTCCTCTTCCTCCTTCGGGGCATCGTTACGAGCC